GGGCCACCCCAGCCCGGTGCCCTGCAATCCTCAGCCCAAGTCGCTCTGCGCTGGCCCCTGCCTCCAGCCCACACGGCGCCGGGGACGAACAGACTCACTCGCTCCATCGCTTGATGATGCCCGTGTTTTTCTTCGCCTTCAACGTGTTGCTGGCTGACTCCGATAGGGGCTCGATCTCACACGACAGCCCATAGCTGGGAGGGGAGAGACGAGGGTTTAAGCTCTCCGTGCTGCCATGGCCGCGGCGAGCACCGTGCCGGTAGGGTGAGCGAGGCAGAGCAGGGAGTGCAGCTCGGGGCTGCTGCGCCCCGGACCCCGCTCGCACTCACCTCTCGGCCTCGCTGAGCCGCTCCAGGCTGTGGAACCAGTCCACGAACTGGTCCTCCTGCGTGAAGCTGTAGTTGTTGCAGGCAGACTGAAGCAGCTTGATCTGGGCGATGACTTCAAACTCCTGGAGCAAAGGGAGAGGCCGTGAGATCAGATCTGTTTGCCAGCCCAGCCCCACACACACAAAGGACCAGAGTCCCCCTACCCAAAAAATGAAGAACATGAGAGCAGAAAAAGAGAGGTATCAACCCCAAAGTGGCTGGCACAGCCTGGGCTTGCACCAAGTCAGCCTCCCCCCTCCACCCTGCTTGTGCCACTGCGAGGGCAAAGCTCTCACCTTCCTTCTCTTCTCAAAGTTGATGAGCCCACCCTGGAAAGAAAAAGGAGCCAAATGTTAGTGTGGAGCAGGCAGAAAAATATTGCTCCCATCCCTCCCTGCCCCCAGCTCGCTGTCCCTGCAGTGGGGACATCCCTGCAGAGGGACAGTGCAAGAGTGGCCCATCAAACGCCGCAGGCATCTGAACCTGCTTTGGTGGGGGTGGGTGGACCAGCAGATCTCCAGAGGTCCCTTCCAACCCCCGCCATTCTGTGGCTCTGTGACTTCCATGGGCTGACAGAGGTGGATGTGCAGTGTTGGATATCGGACGCACAGGGTGCAGTGTCGGGCGCAGGACGCGTGGGGGACCAGCCCTCTGTTTATCAGCCCAGGCTGCGCAGAGGAAGGAGAGGAAGCAGAGGACAGAGATGGTGGTACATACGTCCAGGAAATCCTTCATGGCGGTGTCAAGCATCACCAGGTCTGTGAGGAAGGTGCCAAGGTAGGGAATGGTGCCCTGCATCACGCCCTGCAGGGACAGAAGGGACAGCAGGGTCAGGAGAGAGCTGGGACCAGCCCAGGCAGCCGCCGGGGAGGGGGCATGGGGGGGCCGTGTCAGGCTCACCATCTCTCGCTGCTGCTGCTGCCGCTTCTGAGCCCTCTTCGGGTTGATCTCCAAGGTGGCGAATTTGGACGTGCCCTCCTGGATGGTGGGGAGAGGTGGGGATCAGCGCGGGTGGGAAACTGCGCCAACAGATGAGCTAAAATCCACCCCTGCTTTTATCGGTACAAATTCTCTTGTAGAGGGGAAGAGGGATGGGGGGAAGAGGAGGAAATCGCAGCTGAGCTTCTGCACGGCTAACGGAGCGGGGAGAGGCTTAGTGAGCAGGGACTGCTGCTCCCATTTCCAGCTCTGTACAAACAGCTCCTCAATGGGATGTTTTGTTCCCTTTTGTGTTTTGTGTCCTCTCAGCCCCCAAACTGGAGGCCAGGAAGCTGCGGAGAAACTCCACAGGGAAGGAGGACATTTTTGCTGCAGCCTTTCACCAACCCTAAAACCCCACCTGAAATCAAGAGGACTTTGCACCGGGCTGTGAAAATGCAGCTGCCTCTGGGGAGAAGCCGTCACCTGGTGCACTGGGTCCTACCCCACTGCTTATCTCTGCTTGCTGAATTGCTCTGCAAGCTTCAGGCAATGACAACTTTTGGGCAGAGAAGCAGAAAGCCCAGCCTGGTCCGAAACCCCTGCCTGCTCCTCAGACTCAGCAGGCCCTGCCTGCGCCCGCAAGCCTGGCAGCGGTGCCAGGGCTTTAGCTGGGTGGCAGGAACACGGTGGAAACTTCTGCCAGCATCAGCCCGAGCTCCGTGCCAGGGACAGGGCGACGTGGGAGCTGCTTCCCCATACCTTGATGAGAAGCTCCCGGCTCAGAGAGTGGTTGTTCTCATCGGAGAAGATCTCGGAGAGCTCGTGGAAAGTGCGGAAGCTTTCCCTGCTCAGGGTGAAACAAGGGGAAAAGTCAGCAACGCTGCCACGGTGGGATCTCCTCCTTGGGCTCTCTTCTGCTCACTCAAATGACCCCAGCTATGCTCGCAGCTCTAGCAGGGCCTTGCCATTCGGGGGCTATTCCAGGGTGTTTCACAGGGAAAGGAGAAGGAGATGACGGTGCATTTATTTCCTCACCCTCCTTAGGTCCCTGACACCTTACACTGGTCCCTGGGTTTTGTGCACACTCCAAGAAGCAATGCTGGAGCTGAGATGATCCCATATACACATTCAAGGGCCACGGCCACAGCACAGTCTCTCCCTTGAAACCTCCCCACGGCTGCAGGAGCCCAGAAGACACTGCTTACCGTAGGACCTCGTCCCAGGTCTTCTTCAGCCGGTGAACAGCATTGCACTGCAGCGCCGAGAGGATGGCTCGGAGGGAGGAAAAGTTCTTCAGGATGCGGCACTCCTGGGGGCAGACGAGGAGATGACAGGACTCAGTGTTAAAGAAAGCCCAGGGATCTGCTGGGATTCGCACACCGCAAAACCTCAGCCCTCAGGCCGAGGTGGGAGGCGAGTGGCCGGCGAGCTGTCCTAACCGAGCCACTTCAATCCACCGCTCCACCACTTTAGCCCTCTGCTGCGGCTTCAGGGACCGGTCTCCAAGACACGTGGCGATGACGCAGTTGGCCACGCTGTTGAACTGCGAGACCGTGGCACGGATGGTGGGTGCCAGGTGCTCTTTGCCCTTCTTGTCTCGCTGGGACCAAATGCAGCCCAGGCAGTGGTAAGGCACCACTTTCTTGAACAGCTCCTGGAAGATAAAGGGATGAAGACGAGTCTCTTTGGGGGTCCTGGGAAGGGAACAGGCCAGGACAAATAGATGGAAGGGAAGAGACAGGCCTGTGCCTGCAGCAGCAGGCGGGCAGAGCACCATCGACCCAGCTGCCGAATGAATACTCACAGCATCCATCAGCGTGAACTGTTCTGCCACCATCTCTGGGGAGAAGGAGAGGAAATCCGGCTTTCCGTCCCCGACCCCGTTCTCCTCCACCAGCTGGAAGGTGCAGCCGCCGTGGTCCACAGCTGCGAGAGACAGCACGAAGCTGAGCACCGCAGCCCACGCTGACCCACACCAGCCCCCTGCGGACATCCCACCTCCGGGCTCTTAATGCCCATCTGGCTTCACGCCTCAGGAAACGAGGCTCAGATAAAAACCTAGTCCTTTTAAACCTGGATGCAAGTGTCTGCAGAGGATTAAAGGCAGATTAGCTAATCCACTTAGAAATCCCACTTCTGGTGCAGCTGGATTAGCTTCCCAGTGTCCCTCCATGTAAACACAGGCAGGGGTTATAGCGGTTCCGCCCCGCGGCAAAACCCAAGGCCACGTGGCAAGACCTGAGGTTCTGGAGACCCTTGATGCCAACCAGTAGCACCCTCCCCCCCTGCAGCCCCAAACGAGCCCCTGCAAGCATGGAAAGGACCCCACCCTCTGCCTCGGACTCGCTCTGCTCTTGCTGTTGGAACTGGGCCAGCAGGATGCGGGCTCGGCGCTCCAGGTCCGAGCCGGGGATGTTGTGGCGCACGTAGGAGATGAGCTGCTTCAGGCAGGCGAAGTCCGGGGGCTTGCGGAAGTCCTCGGAGTACTGGTCCAGCCAGGCACCCAGGATGGAGGAGATGGTGCTGTGGGGAAGGAGAGAACACAGGCGAGCTTGCATGAGAATCAGATGCCAGAAGAAACCCGTGTGCACCCCCACAAGCACCAGGAGCACCCCTCAGACAACACATGCGTTAGTACGAGAACCAAAGAGCTTTCCACCAGAGCCACCCATCTCTCCTTCACCCATAGCTCGGTCAGACTTACTTCTTCAGCTCCATCCTCTCGTCCACAACGTGCCTGGCGTGGTCCCCATTTGCCTGCACGTGGAGTTTGCCGTACCTGGTGGGGCACAGCGAGGAGGCAGTAAGCACCCTGGACTCAGCTGTGTCTCAGCGCTGCCTCTTCTCCCTCCACATCACCCCCAGCTCTGCCAGGGCGTAGAATGAACCTCTGATGCACTGTCCTGCTACCCCCAGTCTGCCATGGCCTCTGTGTTATGGGAGGAGGGAAGCAGCCAGCACTGGTCACCTTGCAGCAGGGTACCAGCTGGAAGGGCTCCAGCTCACTGGGAAGTTATGTCCTCACTGCCCTGCCCCAAAACCTTCAGGCTGATGGAGCTGAGAGAAGCCCATCGGCCCTCCAAGGCACGGCAGCAGAAGATGTTGGGACTCTCCTGGCCAAAGGGGCTCGGACACCGGCCACCCCCGTTGCGTTTCGGGACTCGGGGCAGCCTCACCTGTTAAGCAGCAGGTCCAGCACTTGCTTGGTGGTGGCGAAGGCCCGGTAAGTGCACAGGAAGATGGTGACGTAGGTGGAGTCATTGCCCTTGAAGGCTGAGACCAGGTACTCCACCAGCTTCTCCAAGGTCCCAGCTTTTATTGTCCGTACCTTACACGTCTCGTAGAGGTTTAAGGCCGACTCATTCTCAAACTGCCGGGACAAGAGCAGCAGTCAGCAGGCTGGATGAAGACAGACAGACAAGCACAATGCGGCCCCACCAGCTTTGCAAGCTGCTTTTGGGTCTAGGCTGGGACCCACGGGTGCCCTACAGTGCCTGGGGCTCTCCAGACAGGCAAAGGGAAGCCGGGTCTCCTCCAACACCAGATACCAGCAGCTCAGCTGAGCAGACTTGAGCATTTGGGAAATCCCAGGAAAGGCTTCAGGTTGCAGAAATCTAAATGCAAATCAGGGTTGCCCTGTTTTGCAAAATGGGGCTTCAGATTGTTTCCCCTGTGCTCACTGCTGCAGGCTGGAGGCTGGTGGGTGCTCCCACACCGCCGCTCCCAAATCAATACACGACCCCCAGGTAAGGCTTGGAAGGAGCACCCTGCACAGGAGCATCTGGGGGAGCAAGAAGAGGGCAGGGCATGGGCTGGTATCGACCCTGACATCAGGTCACCACGTCTCTGGCAGGGAAATGTCTGAAAACAGCCTGCTGCAGGCGGCTGGCAGAGCCCCCAGCTTACCCCCAGCCATCGCTGCCCTTTGTTGGCCGTGTGATGGAGCTGCACTTTGCGGAGCGATATGCTGTAGATCACACCATCCTCCAGCTCTTCTCCGATCTCCTGTGTGGAGCTCTGCACGGGAGGACACGATACACCGTGAGATAAGGAGGGTGAAGCGTGGCAGAGATGTGCTTGCGGGCTCGTACGAGGCATCTCGGCCAGCCAAAGGCAACAGCTGGCGGGCAGCAAGAGTCTGCCTCGCCGGGCCGAAAAAGCCAACCAGGGGCACACCGCCT